ATGGCTGTTATACTAATAAAAAACGGGTACCTTCTTGTACTGCTATACTAATAAAAGGTTGCTATACTAATAAAATACAGGAACCTTCTTGTCATACTATACTAATAAAAGACTGCTATACTAATAAAGGACGAGTACCTTCTTGTAGTGGTATACTAATAAAAGGCTGCTATACTATTAAAAGGCGGTTACTTTTTTGTACTACTGTACTAATAAGAGGGGTATTCGAGGACCTTGTAGTTTGGCTACACAATTTGTAAATGCATCTGATTTCAATACACACTTGAAGTGGCTCGTTCATTTTAACGCTTCCAAAACGAAACTCTTTTCTATTAATAATCTTAGAGATTTTTTTTTGCATTCTATCAGCAAGAGAACACTACACTGTGCTTTCATGGCCTAACGTTTTTCACTGACATGAAGTGGAATGATTATATTAAATCATCTGCTAAATCTGTTGCTAGGAAAGTCGGTCCACTATGTCGTGCTAGACTATTCTTCTCGCTCTAATCTATCTAAGCGATATATTGTAAGGTAGTAAGAATTAGGAAGTGTATATTATGAGGATATGTAGGATAGATATTGATTGGCAGTGGACCTGAGGAGGTTAAGATCGTAATATAACTATGCATGCTCTCGAGAGTTTGTTCCACAAAGTAACAGTTCTGAGGAAGAAGCTGCCGGAGCGGAACCAGCTCCTTACCAAAAGGAATACAAAGGGAATAGGTATGGTTTGCCACTTTGAAAATGGAATGGCGGGACCGAGCTACGAAAGTCTGAATTGGTGAGACTTAGGAATATAACTGGTTGGAACATTTAGAACAATAGTGATACAGTAGTGAGCGGCTAACAACGTTTCGTCTTTGGGGTTAGGGTTGTAGAGTGGAAAATAATCAATCACCTACAAGGCTGTGTAATAACTTCTTTTGAAATTTGTGAAAGCTGGATAGTGGGGTCTGACAATACATTTTATGATCTACAAACAATATATCTAAAAACATATGTTTACCCTGAAAATATAAAATTATGTACAAAATATCTGTAGTTGAAAGGTATAAAATTATGTATAAAATATTTACATCCTGGTATTAAATTGGTTGAGGTGTTGATATGCCACTAAACGAAATTAATCAACCAAAAATACCTATTTGTAGTAAAATTACCAACAATACATAGTTAAAGCAAAATAACAAATACATTTCATCTGTAGCTGAAGCCATAAAATTGTGTTCAAAATAGAGGTTGATATGCTGCTAAACAAAATCAACCAATCAACTAATAGAGATAAATATAACTTGTCATCACAATATATCATTTGCCTATGATTCTATTCATATAAAATCTGAACTTTAAATTGATTGTAGATTAGATGTAATTTTAATATACACACTATTACACATCAATTATTTTCATTATTATAGGTGTCCTGGGTATAACGATAAACTACATTCAGCAGCAAGACCTCTGATTGGGAGATTAGAGGTTTTGAGGAGCGTTGTTCTCAAGTCCACCCTGGTATGGGGTGGAAATACCTGTTAGCATCCCAGCTATGAGCAAATAGCTAACCTCCAAACAAATATCAAAGGTGCATTTGTATAATAAAATGACCAACAATACATTTTTATAGAAAAACAATAATCAATGAAACACTAAGGAAAATATAAAAATACATTTTATATTAAAATTACCAACAATACATTTTATGATCTACAAACTATAAATCTAGAAAAAACATACATTTCCCCTGAAAGTATAAAATTATGTACAAAATAACCCACGGCGTTGATATGCCGCTAAACAAAATCAACCAATGAGTCAAATCATCAAAACATCATGTTAAGCCTCATTTGCGATATGAACATATAAAGATATAGTTCTTTAAACGACATTTTTAAAACCTCTAACAAAAAGATGGCAGCGATAGATCCAAAGAAGGATCTGCAATGTAATCGATCCTGACATCTTGACTTCAGTCACTTTCTCACCGATGACGTGGCTTCTCTCTGTCTTTTCTATAAATATTTCCGTGTCAACTGCTTTGGCGAGCTTTTTTTCTCTTGGTGCCATGACTACATGTATTTAAGCGTTCTACTGGATTTGCAGTTATCTAGGCCCCACCCTTTTATCGTTGAAACAGCTAAATGCAACCACCATTTCTACTCCAACAGTTTCTTTTCTCGTACTTCTCACCTGTGGAACTGCCTACCGTTTACTTGCTTCCCGGATAAATACGACCTTCACAATTTTGAATGCAATATCAATCGCCATCTTCTGTCTTCTTGAATCCCCTTCATCTTCTGTCCTCTCCTCAATCCTCCCTATTTCCAGTCTTCTCTTTCACTTTCACTGCCTGCGTATTAGTAGAATTCCAGCTTTGCTTGGGGTGAAATGGTTTAAAAAAAGATGAGACGCATCTATTTTATTGTCGTCAGGTTTATTTTTGTGAATGTTTGATTGTCTACCATTTCATTTCGTAGTTGGTAGGTACTCTGGTAGGATGACTTAGCATATGATTCAATACCTACCACAAGCGTCACAGGCGATCTAACGCCTGTCCCCTATATGGTCTGAAATTCCCACTTAATAACCTTTTCGGATACTTACGTTTGCTGTCCATGACCTCTCGAAATCAACTTTTCCCCATACATGATGGCTGTCATCTTGTTGTCGAGCATGGCTGTTGCAAGATATCATTGCAAGAATCAATTGCGACTTACGATATCATGCAATACCTGTGCATGAAAATTTGCCTCTTCTAGCATTGACCATATTTGCTATATGCCCGGACCAACTCGAACAACCGTTAGAATTCTCTTTGGCTGAGGGAAATTTATAGGCTTCTCTACGCATTTGTTTTCTACCTTCTTAAAATAGAGAAAAAATTTGCAAGAAGAGCATGTATCCAAAAAAAAAAAAAAAAAAAGTCAATAGCATTGGATACTGTCAAGTTATGGGTGGTATACCAGAGTTTTCCTTTTCTTAGTTGGATACCTTAACGAAGTCCAACCCCCACCCCTAATGGGATTAACGCGCTCCTGGACGCCAACCGAGCTATTTCCGTCTGCGCTACATGAACGTTGGTCCCATGAATGTGTTCATCCGCGGTTTGACAGGTCAGGTTTATAATCCTGTTAATCCACCAGAAAAGCCTAAGGAAGAGATCGGTTTAATCGCCGGCATCCCGACAATGCGGCAGGTAGTATTGGGTTACATAGTACCAATAACAATATGTAACACGGTTCAAGCTGCCACATACAGGTATACATGCATATGAATAGATTTAGATAGCTAGCCAGCTTGATAGATAGATTTGAACAGACACTAATAGATAGATAGATAGATATATGGCTTCGAGGTTATATCTTTTAGCCTCCATCTTTGCCTCTATCTCAATGTTAAATGACAAAGACTATCTCCACCCCAAGTTTCCGCGTCTCAATAAGTACAATCTCAGTAATATTACCATCCTAGCGCAAGAAGTTTCTAGACTTATCAAATGTCTTAACCCTTAGAAAGTCACTGGTCCAGACAAAATTCCAGTCTTTGTCCTTAAGAACAACAACTTGGGATTATCCCCAATCCTAGCAACGTTATTCCGCCGCTGCTTGAAGGAGAAATCCTTTCTAAGTCCGTGGAAAGTGTCAAGCGTATGCCCGATTTTCAAGAATGCGGATGGACAATCTTCCCCACTCCCACTACAGACCCATCAATCTCCTCAGTACCATCAGCAAACTTTTTTAGGCCATAATAAGACGATGGTCGAGTATCTAGGAAAGAAAAGAACAAACTCTTCAGCAACAAGCAGAATGGGTTTCACTTGGCCCGATCCACTGCCGGCGTCCTACCATCAATTATAGAATAAGTGACGCTCTTGATGACAAAGACACCTCGAGGACCATAGCGCTAGATATCTCAAAGACCTTCGACAAGATGTGACATAAAGGCTTACTACAAAAGCTCTCCAGTTATTGAATCACTGGAAGGGTCTTCTCGGTCATAAAATCCTTCCTTAACAGGTAGGTCCGTGTAATTATCAATGACTAATCTTTCGGAACCCTAGAGGTCAACGCGGGCCTCTCTCAGGGATCACTCCTAGGATCACCTCTCTTTTTGATCTATATAAATGATCTGCTTAAGAATATACTCAGATCATTTGTAAACATCTATGCCGACGATACAAAGGAGCGCACGTCTAAAACTTTCGAGGGTTAGAGATTTGTCGACTGAACTCTCTTCCGATCTTGCACAAGTTACACGAAGGAATAAAAACTGCCTGGTTACATCAATGCCTCGAAGACCAAGCTAGTTACATTCGCCGAACTGACCCCGAACTACCAACAATCAAGATGAATGGAGATCCTCTCAAAGAAATACCGTGTCTTGAAAGACTGTTGTGCCTCAAACTCACACACGACGTCAAGTGGAACTCGTACATACGCTAAGGATAAGATTAAATTGTTGTCTCTCTATACTGCTCCAGTAAGTACCTGGTTCGTCCTGCTATCCTGTGCCATTACAAGATCCAGATCAGGACAAAAATAGAGTGCTGTATTCAATCTCCAGCCTTGAGTTCAAAAAGCGTTCCCGATCCCTTGTGGGTGACGAATTATTCTCTACCCTTCAAACTCTCCTACAGGCGAGATATGGCAAACCTCTCGCTGCTCTACCTCTACTTCCACTGAGAAGGACGAACGACATTCCCAGGTCCCGCCGAAGCAAACCTTTGCAGCTAGAACCCATTATGCCACTTATATACTAGCAAACCACCTACATTCAATCCGTGTTCCATCGGTGAGAAATAAGTTCCAGTGAGAAGCAGATTCTTCCTGTGAACCACTGCTTTGTGGAATCGACTCTCAACTGGGTGTTTCCCCCGATCACTACAATCTTAACCTGTTCAAGGCTAGGGGTAACCGTTAACTTCCATTCCTATACATACACATGACCTCCAAACGTAACCCTTTACCGCGAGTGGCTCCCGGACTTTGTAAAGGGCGAACCTCGTAGTAAAAAAAATAAATAAATAGATCTTAACAGACTGTGGTAGATAGATAGATAGATAGATAGATAGATAGATAGATGGCTCGAGGTCATATCTTCCTCGACAGATAAGGCGAATATCTTCGCCTCCATCTTTGCCTCTGTCGCAATGTTAGATGACAAAGACCATAATATTTTGCGGGAGCTGCCCAGAACTCGATCTCCAGCCTTGAGTTCAAAAATAGATAGATCTTAATAGGCTGTAATAGATAGATAGATAGATAGATAGATAGATAGATAGATAGATCTGGACAAACTGTGATAAATGTATAGCGACAGACGTTAATTAAAAATGTTCACTGCAAGAAATATTGTCGTGTTGCAATTCTTTTCCCGACTTTCTGAACATTAACATGATTAAAGTCTCATCTGTTATAATTATATAAGTCAGCTAATTAAGTTCACCATTGTCTATTTCCTCTATACGATATATCTACGGGGGGAGCCGCAGATGATGGTGAATGTCTGTATCTGTTTGACAGTGTAGGCATCTTTGCTTGATCAAGTGATCGTCAAACTGATGTCACTTTTAACATCACGCAACCAGAGCTCAAATAAACAGATCAATCTTGAGACTAAGAGAAATTCATAGCTAAATAGGCTCACGTTTGATAAAACAGAGAGTATTATGTATAAATTCGACATCATCACGTCAAGCTTTTTATTTCTCCAAGGGGACCGAGAGCTACGATTGCCGACGCTAACCGAAGAAGACATCATTTAAATAAAGAGACAATGGCACAAAGGAACAATTCAAATAATAATAAAAAATACGGCTGTCAACATTAGTTTAAAAATATAGTAACCAATCAAATGGTTATAAACTCAATATGCGAACCAGTAGAAAATACAATATTTATAAATATAAATGAGAATAGCAAAACTGTAACTGCCGACGCGTTTCCACATTGGACGAAACGCGTCGGCAACTATTACAGTTTTCCTATTCTCATTTATATTTATAAATGCCAATTCTTATATCACGTTTTGGATTCTTATTCCTGTTCAATCTCTTGTTTACAGACCAAACAACGTATTAGGGCAGATGTGGTAGAAACATAGTCAAATGAAATTTGCAAGTAAGCGTGAAAATTCAAATTGTAAGAGACACAACGAGGACAAAATAAATTGAAGCCTGAAAGTAATGAGGAAAATGTAGTTTTTAAGAAAATTTGCGAGCAACGCCCAGCTCAGTTGTATCGAAAAGAATTGAAAGAGAATGAAGAAGAGCCATACATTTATCCTGCAGTCAAAGAGTCAATTCCTTTGATTTAATTCCCTCCTTTCTCAATTAATTGGAACTTAGTTTTCGTAATCTCGTTTTCATGCGAGACTGACATGCAGTCATCAAAAGAGATTTACTTAGAAATCCAGCTGAAGTCAGTTTGATTATGCTTACTCCATGTTAAAGAATGAGGATTTTAGTCATGGATAATTAAGGAATTTATCTACTTTCGTTAAGCTCAAGCTGATGCAAACATTAATTCCTTCCTGGTATTGGATTGGCGAAATAGGTTGTCTCCCCGCTCATAGAAATAAAAACCACCGAACAGCTATCGGGGTGCAGAGACTGGGATGGACCAAGGTCAGTGGACTAACTCCAGACAAAGGGAGCCAAAGACCAGTTTTGATGAAGCGGATGCTAGTTATCGGCTCAACAACGAATACCCACGGATAAGTCACGTTACGCATTCTATGTAGGGGATAACAATGTCTTTATCTTTTGTAATAAAATAAATATTCTTATTGTTGTAACAATCGTCTAAGCATTTTCCTTAACGATTTCCAACTAAAACTGACTATAATGGCAGTAACTCTGACATATAATACACTCTAACACTGGCACAGGTTAACAATGAAAATGCTATTGAATTTCATTGATATTTTATCAATCAGTGTTTTGGGTTCAGTTGCTAGTTCAGTTTCGTATCTTGAAGTAACTGTCTAGCACATTTCTCTCGAATGTTTATGGATGTTGCATAGTTTCTCTTTTCTCAGATCATCAAGATGAAAATAGTAACACTGAACTACTCTCATTTGAAAAAGGAAAAAAAGATTTTGATTGGCATGAGTAACTATCAACATTAAACAGCTTTTCAAATATTCCCACCGTGTTTACTATCCTTATACAAATAATAGATAAAAAAGGATTCTCAGTAATTGGTGATCGTTCCTTATGGCCATAGCACGTTGAAACATTGGTTCTCGTTCGATCACCAAAGTTAAGCAGCGTTGAACCTGGTGTAATGACAAAAGTACACAGGTGTAGGCTTTAAGAAAGCTTTATTCAACTGAGAATACAAGGTTCGCTCATAGTGTCCTTTTATAGCTTCAGTAAACAGAAATAGCTCTCTCAAGGAGGAGAGTAATGAAACAAGGGGAGACCACACTTTATTATTCATAACATCTGGTTAGTACTCAGACGAATCAATGCTGGGGAATACTAGAGGCTAAAAGATATGCGACAGGTATAGAAATCCGGTGATTGAGAAAATCTCGTTACTTATACTAACTGAAGACATTGATATGCGGAGGTATTTCTTGACTGAAAGGGCTCATGATCTACCGGAAGTTGGGTGACTAGTGACCGTTCTAGTTCGGGACGTTGCATAAAGGAATAAAATACGACATAACAATGGAAATTTGGTTTCTTCTTCGTTCACATTTTTGCTTCAGTTATTTAGAGATAATATTTTCGTTACTTATCGTAGCTTCCCTGTGCCTTTTCTATAAATATTTTCATGGCAATTGTTCTGATGAGCTTTTTTCAATGTCAATGTGAGTGCTAGGGATGAATGAATGTCTTATACTATTGTAGCCTCGCATTGATTTCGGCCAGTGAACTGATGTTTCTGTCACATTGTGGGGGATTTTATTACTAGTATTATTTTCTTTAGTTTCTTGTAAATAGGTTTGTATTCATATTTGTAAATACTCATTGGGGCTAGTTTTTAGAATTGTTGCTTTATTCCCCTCCCCCCACAGACAATGAATTGTAAATATGGGGACTAGTTAGTATTTCCATAGAGACAATGAGGTATTATGGTGGTTGTAGTAAGAAAGGTACGTATGAATGTGTTATTTTGGTGTAAGGAATATTTTTTCGTACGTTTTGGTCAGTGCTTGCGGCTAGCTAAGTTATAGTTATGACAGAAGAAGACGTCCTTTCCCCAATCCCCCTTACGGCCTTGTGTCACATTTCTGTATTTTAACAGATTAAATATCACTCTCCTCTATGGTACCTGGATTTATGAATTTAAGCGTAGTACTAGATTGGCAAATAAGTCTCATCATTTGACTGTTGAAGTTGCTAGATATAACCGTAATTTCTATTCTAATATTTTCTTATCTCGCATTTCTCGCCTGTGGAACTCTCTTCCGGCTTCTTACTTTTCTGTTAACTGCGATCTTCAAAAATGACAACGTCAATCGTCACTTTCTGTCTCGTTGAAATCTGTTCTTTTCTTGTCCTTTCTACTCAATAACGTTTTCTTTCACTCCCAGTAACGCCCTTTTGCATCTTCGTATCTTTATCGCCTTGCTTGGGAGGAAATCTTACTTATTATAAAACGCAGATTGTGTGTGTGTCTGTACGTTTATATATTGGATCGGATTTCCTACACTTTTCAACTGATTTCAACAAAACTTCTCAGGACTGCGTAAAATTAGCTTGCGGTGGTTCTGACAGCGCCAAAAATTGGAAAAACACAAATGTTTTTGCACGAAATCAATTTGAAAACACGATAAAACACGATTCTGTCGCCAGAATGAAAGGGGGACAACTTATATCGAGTTATACTTATTATAAAACCCAGGTTGTTTGTGCGTGTGTGTGTTCATTTATATATGGGATCGAATTTCCTACATTTTTCAACCGATTTCAACAAAACTTCATTTTTTTTGGCAGGTAGTGTTTCTTATTGTCTTGCACACTTTTTTCTTTATTTTTACATTCAGAATGCTTTAAAAATTCCATTTACAAGACAATTGTTTATAATAAAATTCTATTCAATCGATAGACTCATAACGATTGTAAACAATGTTTTTGTTTGAGTTTGACCAATTCGTAAAAAAAAATAATTAAGACAAGCGTGTCCGTCAACCTTAAACAATAATCTTTGTCAATTTTATTTTTCAGTCTTTATGATGGTCGATACTTGATCTATCTCTTACTGTTACATCCCCGGGCAATGCCGGGCTCTCCTGCTAGTGATTAATAAAACCCAATAAGAACATCACTATCAAGTTATTTTAATTAGAACTACAAAATCTTGCAATTTTCAGTCAATTTCTTTAACTACGGGGCTACATCTGCAAGTTTGTTAAATATGACAGCCTGTTTTTCTCATATACATTATTTCCTTGGAATTCGAAGTTACGACGAAGATCCGCCTGTCGCTTTTTCTCCGTTTGTGAGCAGGAAAACAGTAAGCAAACGCATCGCACTGATTGGCGTCATGCAGTTTGGAATTGATGACACCTTCACCACACCAGGCAGCCGTTAATGTCGGTTGCCAGCGAGAAAAGATCGATACAGAATGTCAACGTCGATATTTGCTGATGATTGCTTCGGACCACTTAGGAGAAGACAGTGTTCTTCTGGTAGGTTCAGGGAAATTGGTTTTCTAGGATTGAGATTCTATAATCAAACTGTTAAAGTCGATATTAGGAATTCAGCTTCGATGCTGACACATTTGTAGCAGAATCTCATGGGTACTCGGCATTTTCCGGGAGAAATAACTTCAATACAACAACATAGGAAATAATATGTTGCTTAATATATTATGCAATTATCTATCTATCTATATCTATCTATCTATCTATCTATCTATCTATATATATATATATATATATATATATATATATATATATATATATATATATATATATAATTTAATAGTTAACACTGAGGTTCAGTCATATAAATATTTGATCTCATTGATCAAAAACAGGTAATACACATTGATCATATATTTAGTCAAAATCTTGCACTAGTTTTTATTTGATTCTTGATTTAAATGCGCTGCTTAGTAACATGACTTGACAATGATAGGTAAATATCCCAATCGAATTCTTTTGTGAGATGTTTTTAATGTTTCTTTATGATTCAAGCACACTTTCCGACATTATGATAGGTGTGATATACACTTATATAAAATAATTTGCTCTGTTCTATGTCACACGTGGGCAAGATATATCATTTCGTTAGACCAAATGATTGCAAAACGAAACTAGGTAGTTGAAAAAATAGATTATAACTCAACACTAATGAAACTATTTTCTTGACTACATGACCAAGTCTGTATGTCATGGAATTACATTCATAATTCGTAATTTCATCCTTGAACAAATAAA